CAAACATTAAAAAACACGTTTCAGATCGAACGAAGAAGAAACGACAAATTCAAAAATCTATTTGACAACATTCCTTAAAAAAAAAAACAATCTTTAATAAAAAAATAAATAATTAAAAAAAAAAAAAACATGTATAAAACTGCAAACATAATTTAACCAAAAACTTAACTCAACAGGAAATACAGAGAAAATTCAAATTTTCCCCATGGAACGAGTAAGCTCCCCAAAGGGAGAACTCGATAAGAAAAACTCATTACACATATAACAGGTTCAAATAGCTTCTGTCCAAGAACGAAAAAAAAAAACAGAAAATTAGCGAAAAAACTAAATTAAAAATGAAAGAACGAAGACAAAAATAAGTGACCCAAACACGGAACCACGATAAGAACATTCAATAGGAAAATATCAGAAGCCATTTCGACAATAAATAAGAAAATACAAAAATGAACTAATAGTGCGAACCATCGAAGAAAATGAAAGTACGAAAATCATGAGAAGAAAAACCATGAATGGCAAACGAGAAATATCGTAACTCAAAGACAGGAACGGTACTATAGTAACGGACAGGGATGAACTAATAAAATTCAAAAAATTTAACCTAAAAATAAACAACACTTATTAAATTATTTTTTATTTTTTTAATTTTTATTACTAGTATAACAATTTTTTTTTGCCACTTTGTCTAACCCCCCCCCCCCCCCCCAAAATTTTGGTCTAGATACGGCCCTACTATACAATATTATATAAAGTCTGTTTTTTTTTAAGATAAAAGTCAAAATGACATTATGTTGGCAAAACAATGTAAAATTGTCAATGCTTTCAATTTTTTTATGTAGAAAAGGCTTGTGTTGCCAACATAGTTACTAAATTTTTGACTTGGGGAATTATCTTTAAAAAAAAACAGACTTTAGATTTCAGATAAACCAAACAGGAGAAGAACCATTGCCGAAGGTACAAAACCTAGGCTTCGAAGACATACCTGACATTTCTAAGGAAGAATTACATGATGCACAATTTGTGCCTGTGCAACTAGGATATCCCAACCTTATGAAATAATTCAACTACCATATTACTCCATATAGAAAAGGATATAAAACAAACCTGGAAAAAAGCATACAATCAAAATTCGAGCTCTACCAACCAAGAGAACAGGCTGGTTTCCGAGCTCGCTACAGCAGCAAGATAATCTCCAATGTTTAAAAATCCTCATCAAAAAGTCTGTCGAATATATTAGACCTCTTGTTCTGATCTTTGACGATTTTCATAAGGCATTCGAAATAGTCGAATTGAATGCCATCAAGGAAGCATTAATGAATCCAAATCGATCATCGATACTCAGATATTATACAGAATATATACAAAAACGCCATAACAACGGTCAACTTACACTCCCCTACACAAAAAATTAAATTGGAAAGAGGCGTAAGACAAGTGACACTCTGTCGCCCAAACTATTCATCACCGTCCTAGAGCATGCGTTTCAAAACTTAGAGTGGGAGAAAAGAGGTATTAACATTGATGGGACAAGACTTAGCCACCTCAGATTTGCGGACGATATTGTACTCAGGCCTGAATATCAATTTTGGAAAAACAAAAATGATAACTATTTTAATTCCCAAAAAGCTTATAGAGGTCGATAAGTGATAACAACCAGATAGATATGGTGCAAGCTACATATATCTAGGTCACAAAGTGAGGATTGGTAGCGGTTACCAAAAAGCAGAATTGCATATGGCAGATTTCGGGATGTCTTCAAAAATTATATCACAATTACACTTAAACGAAAAGCTTTGAACATTTGCGTCCTCCCTGTGCTCACTTATGGTACGGATGCGGAGACCCTAACCCTGATGAAAACTTCAGCATGCAAGCTACAAAGAACGCAACGTAAAATGGAACGCTCAATGCTTGCTATAAGTCGCAGACATAGAATACAAATTCGTAAGAAAACAGGGGTTAATGATGTTCTAGATCGATAACAACAGCAAAATGGAGATGAACAGGGTAAGATTAAACGATGGTAGATGGACCAAGAAAATCCTGAAATGGCGATCAAGAGCAGACAAGCGAAGCCGTGGTCGACCGCCCACCAGGTAGACCGATGACGTAAAAAGGGTTAGCAGCCACTGTACAGGAAAAAATGAAAATGTCTCCTATGGCCTATATCCAGCAGTTGACGAACCAAGACTTAATTATGATGATGATTGAATCCAATGAAAACAAGTCTCGTTGGCGTAAAATTTCTATTAAAATGGAAATTGAGTAGCTATGACTATCCCAATTGAAAAAAGTCTGCTCAAAAGTGTGTTCGAAACTACCATTTCATGTGAAACTTCTCTGCGAATAGTTTAACTGAATTCGAAGGGCGATTTTAAAGAAGGAAAACTTATAGGTTTTTTATAGTGATTTTGGATTTCATGGGAGCGTTGAGCGTTTGAAATCATAGACGACTTTTGCTTGAAATGGTGAACTATGGTTCTCAATCTTATCAGGTCAGTGCACAGGGTATTCTTCCACACCACACAGAATTATCTTGGGATCCAGTTTTCATCCTATACCATCATCAATGACATGGTTAAAGTAATCAAAAACTTCAATATTCAACTATCTACTGAGGATACAATAATTTACTCGATGAGGTAGAAAGTAGGAAGGTACATTACACAAACCTTAATAATAATATGCTAAGTAACAATTATTATTTTCAACTGAATATAACCAAAACGATCATAAAAATTGAATCATGAGATTGATTATATTGGCGATAATGTTAAAATGATGGGTAATATAAGTTACATTGATATTTTGAAAAACTGTTAGGTCTAGCTAACCAAGTGCTATTAATAAAGTTGCAGCCATAACTTACTTACATTCTTGTCGGGAAAAAAGTGAAATTGCTCCTAGTACTGCTAGTATGTACTGCCTAACACTTAAAATAAACTGTTCGTTTTAATGAAATCTACTCCTGCATTTATTCGTTGAAAATAAATATCAATTAAAGCAATATTAAAAATTATGTCAAAATTTGGACTGCAACCTTTCAGCTTTGATGATGGCGCCTACATACCTATAAAACGTGGGTTGGGTGATTCAATATTAAGGAGGCGAATTTGGAATAACTACTGATTAAACTTAAATTTACATATTACTTAACTTATGTAAAACCATTGGGAAAATTATTAGCAAATTTTGCAAGCAGGTATTTTTGGATGTTTGACTCATTATTCTTCATGGACATTATGCCTTTCTCAATATCATTTCAGACAGGACGAAAACAAAACATCCGTTCTACTCAGTCGAAGATTGGGCCCTCTAAACGTGTGAAAATCCTAATCCTCATTACCACACGTTCTCAATACTGAACCATGTGACAAATCTTATTTACTCTTTCCATCAGCAACATTTAACTTTTACCGCAGTCGAAAATCACCGTTATATAGCCGAGATAAACCCACAAGCTGCTTTTGCTTATAACACCAGAAGAAGAGAGAGATGAATTCATTTAAAAAGCCATTATCCGCAAGAAAGTAGGCCGTCATCAGCAGAAGAATATGCTGTTTCGCTTTGATACACGACGCAAAAAGAAGATAGGAAGATCTTGTGTGTTGTCATAACCGATAAAGTAGGTGCGACATAAGAAATGTGTTCTGAAAATGGAGGTCAGCCAATTTTTATCTTATTGCAGGATCGAATTTTATGTCTGCAATCGATGTGGACCAGATTGTTTTAAGGTCAAAATAGGCGGAAACTTCAACTAAATTAATTAACATTTAGTATTACTAATAAATGGTTTGCTGAATATAAAGTTGTTTTGATGATTCAGATCATGTTCTGGGATCTTCAAATTCAAAGTGAAAGAACGCTGGAAAGAATACTAGGTAGGTACATATAAATCGGATAAATGCAATTCATCTGAAGCATATTGTAAACTAAAGAGGTGTGTAATTTAATAAATACATAAATTTGCACCCATAAAGTACCTAATAATTTTAAGAGCGTTTATGCCCTCGAAATTTGATCGATTTTCTTGAATCGTCTCTTGGAAAAAATCCAGAAAGAAGTTTTGGTTTCAAAAACCTCCTGATCTTAGAAACGGATCCAAAGTATTGATAACTCCATCAGGTCGAAGTTTATCATTGTCTGTAGACTTGAATAATCGCTAACAATTATATTTTTTCTGTTTCACAAAATATTTAAATTCCGAGTTGAAATAGGTAATTGTTCTTGTGGTGACAATTTTTTCAATTATTGTCGTCTGATGGAGTCAATTTGATGTCAATTTGGTATCTGGGGTATTCCGTTATAGTAAATCACTTTGGCGTACAAACACAGAAGAAATATTAGTGGCACTCCATACATTATCCACCTATTAGTGAAATGTGCAACCCTCATTGAAGTCTAATCTCTATTAATGAACAATTTAAATACTATAAAAAGAGCACATCAGAATTAATGAAAAGATTATGCAATGGACAATCTCCTTTTTCCTTAAATATTGAGAAACAAATTAAAACCATAAAGTTCAGGGATATCAACTCAATAAATAAAGCCATTAGATATCGACAAAAACGGATTTTGTTATTTAATTAATGAGCAGCAACCGGATTTTGTAACACAACTTATCCGGCAACTGTTTTTGTATAAAATAGGTTTACTTTAGAAGTAATTAAGAGAATAATTTGCCTAACGCTCGCATATTTTTATTACAAAGGTGAATTTTTCCGGCAACTCTTTAAAACATTCTTTTAAAATTTAAAGTCACTTGTTAGGTATTGAGATTATTGTAACAAATTATATCTGTACCACCACTTTTTGGGCCGGTCCAAGTTGGGCTGAAAACTTTTGAGCGACCTACCTCAAATGTTTAAATATGTACCTATCTAAATTTTCAATCAAATTGTGCAAAAAACAATAATGCCTAATCCAATCACTGCTATTTTTGCATTAAGGATGCAATTTTAACATTTTATGAACAAGGACATAAACATCAATTTACTTACCATTTAGAAAATTTATGTAAAATAAACTTTCTCAAGAACAAATCACTTTATCCATATAAAGCTATATCCATTAAATGTACCTATATTCAACATTCAATAACACACTTAAATCCAATTCACAAACACTTTTTCAAATTTGCGCATTTCCCGCCACCGTTGATAAAATTTTTGCGCGATTCAGTACCAACTCGGTACCATGACGTTTTACCTTTAGTACGATACCCAAACAACTGAGTTGACATTTAAGTCGTCGCACCTGTAAACCCCTGGGTTAGCCTATGAAATCGACTTTTACTCTGACTTTAAGAAATACCGCGCGCTCTGTGGTACTACTCGCGAGATTGTAGGTAGTAGTACCCGTATTATTGAGACAGGTAAGGTCCAGGTGTGAATCGTAAGCTTAGGGATAGTTTGGGGAAGTTTAACGATAACGTTAGATTAGTTCTTTTTTTTTTCTTCTCTTTTTTTTTTTTTTCTTGCAGAGAAAGTTTGAATTTTTTAGACCAAATTTTGGTTTTTGCAAAGACCCTGTATTATTTATACACCACTTGGGTAACTTAGATAATTTCCATAGGTAACTGTATCCATGATTAGAATGCTATTACAGATTCTTGCTGAGAAACAAAATATGATCGTGAATTTTCCATCTAAAAAAACATTCTTGAAGACTGAAGAGCCAATAGAAGGTAGGTAGGTTAGGTACCTATGTACTTCTTTTTTGAGTTCTGAGTAGGTATACTACAAAGTAAAGATAAATGTCCCACTCTGACTCATCGAATTAATGTTGTACTTATCGGCCACTTTGTCACTTCTTATGGATAATAACACTCCCAAACAGGGAAAAAATAGTAGTTTGTCTAACTTCCTGAACATTTTGGCAAAACATCGGATTTCATCTGCATCATCCCTTATGTTATCTTATAATAAACTCGATGCTGCGCTAATTTTTTACCAATGATAATACCTTCCAACGGAAAAGCTTGCAATAAAAATATATTTGCATAGGTAGGTAACTAGGTACTTAAGTATTAGGTTCGAAAAGTATGGACTTTATTCTAACCATATGCAGTTATCGGCCCACCGTTTCCCTCTAAATATGACATCTCATTGTCTTCAAAAATATGAAGTCCACATTCGATTCCTGATTATTTTTCATTATTTTCAAAACTCCTATGATTTTGAGTGTTATTTTTTTTCCAACTTATGACTACAAGTGCGGTAGTACTTATATAATATATGACTCGGCTGATAATGAGGACATTGCGTTTTCAAGGTGGCCGATAATTGAAACATTAATGATTCACTTTTTATGTAGGTACCTTTATGCTTGAAAACTACTGAATATCTTTATATTTCCAAAGCGGTCCAATTTAAAGTTCCTTTTTAAACTACTATAGGAAAATCCAAAAAAATTATTTAAAAGATCCATTTGGTTGATATTTTAAGTAACCCTATATAAATAACGTTAACGTTTACTTATGATTGCGATACATGTCTATTTAGGTACCAGCTGCCGGCTACTAGTGTATTGTTGTTTGCATAAGAAAGAGGCAAAAGCCTATAGATGATATGGGAAAAGGAAGTAACATGTGGTCAGATTATTTTAAAAGTTAAAAAAAAAACATTAAATATTATTCTGGCTTTGAATTACTATAATAAAGTTGATGAGATCGATAAGCATTTATATTGAATTAATTTTGTCATAAAACTACAAGACTAATTTCCATTCAAGTTATTCATTATCTAATTTATTATATTAGCTGAATCTATTAAAAATTAAAAGGTACTATAGAATATCTATTTAATTATACATATTTCATTGACTTCCGAGAGTTTTAAGCTCGACTTCCAGCCGGCGCAGCTCATCAACAAGGGAAAAATTGAAGATTTTTTCCATCAGGATACATTACATGCCTACAAGAAGTACTCAACTTCCTACGGCTTAAATTAAAATAGCGGATAATATAGGCATAAAACCATCTTTCGCACTTGTTGATAAACCTTTTGTATACCTATACCCGATGACTAGAATTTCCAATAGGAACTGGTACTTTCTATATAGCCAATTACGGAACGATCGAGAATTGAAATTCCTTCAAGAGAATAATTGTTAAGAAAATATAAGGAGTCCGAGATAATCACAGATACTGACTCAGTAGGGAATTGAATACGGTGAATTGTGAATTAATTAAACAAGTTGTGAATTGGACAGTAAAGATGGCGGTTAATAGGTAATGAAACAGTAAAGAGTTTTGAACATCAATTAGACCTGATTTAAGTGATTCGAAGTAGTTCTAGTTTTGTCGTGATTTTTGTATTTGGTAGGTACCCATTGTTTTTATTTTCAATAACATATCGGCGGTTTTTTTTTTGCAAATCAACTTAAGTTGGTACCTATGTTTGGCAAATAGGTACAATTTATCGCACTATTTTGAATGAACTTTCGGGGAACAGGAGTTCATTTTTGCCAAGATGAAGTCCAAAGACGAAGAGAAAACGCTTATCAATGTTCTACTTGTTGCAACTTGAGCATCTTTAAATGTCCAGTCTCCATTTGCCGTCAAGCCTTAAATAATTTCCATCGATTGATATTTTCATAAATATGTTCGAGGGCTTGTAGATTGTAGATTGCGGGGGAGTCGTTTCGGCTTTTTAGCCGCTCAGCACTGCTACCTTTGCAGATATTTTGTACATGACTCTACATCTCAAATTGTCTCCAGGAAGCGTAGACTTCTGCCGAAGAAAGCTATTTTCCTGGATGTCAGTTGGCCCACTTCTTCTGGTGACAGTGTTGCCCCCTCGAGGAATTTGAGCCTCTTGCAGAATTGGGCTGGACATTCGCAGAGCAGGTGCTCTGCGGTCTCTATTGCGTCTGAGCAGAAGCTGCAGAGATCGTCTTCCGCTCTGCTTATTAACCTTAAATGGTATTTTACTGGGCAGTGTCCTGTGAGCAGTCCCACCACCAATCTGATATCTGGTCTGCTCATGCTTAGGAGCTGTTCAGCTCTTTTTGCTGAAAGGGTAATAAACCTTTTGGACTGTCGTAGTCTCAGTGTGTGCCTCCAGTATGATGACAGTTGGTCTTTCTCCCATATATTGAGTTCTTCCATGATGTGGCTTTTTATTAAGCCACAGTAGGGCTCAGGTCCATGGTATGGTGTTGAGGCCCCTTCCTTTGCGAGGCCATCTGCTTCTTCATTTCCTTCTATGCCTCGATGACCAGGCAGCCACATCAGCGTTACCTGGTTGTGTGTCGCTAGTGATTTTAGGGTCTATTTATACTCTTAGACTAGTTTTGACGTGCATTTGAAAGCCCTTAAGGCTTTTAGGGCAGCTTGGCTGTCCGATAGTATGAAGATGTGTTTTCTTTTGAGGCTTTGGCTAAGACACTCTTGTGCACATATATCTATGGCAAGCAGTTCGGCTTGAAATATTGTAAGATGTTTACCTTGCTTTGGAGAGCTTGAAGTTAGGGCCGGAGGGCCAGTCCAGCTCCTTCCATCAGCTTGGATCCATCTTTGTACCACAGAGATGCATTGTCTGCTTGTGGCAATTCTTTATTCTCCCATGATTGGCGGTTGTTTATTACCACTGCGAATGGGATCTCTAAGTCCAATCTGACCATCATGTGGTCTCTTGGTTTGCTGGCATTATCCACTTTTATTAAATCAAGGATTCGCAGATGTCCCCTCAGATCACCAGGCTTGAACTTGTCTATTTGGAATAGCCTGTGACCGTTGGTTATTGCCTCTTTTTTCACACATAGATGAAGTGGGGGCATGTTGACTAGCGTCTCTAAGGCTGCGGTGGGGCAAGTTGACATTGCTCCCGTTATTCCTATAGACATATCAGCCTTTGCACCTTTCTGAGCTTGATCTGAGCAGTGACTTGTTGGGTTGTGGGCCACCACACCAATGAGGCGTATGTGACCATGGGTTTTATTATAGTTTGGTAAATCCGGAATGCCATCTTTGGCTTTAGCCCCCATGTTTTGCCAACAAGTTTTCGGCATGACCAAATGGCTGATGTAGTAGCTCGTGTTTTCTCTAACTATTTGTTCCAAGTGAGGGTTCGGATCAGGGTGACCCCTAAATACTTCACTTCGTTGGAAAATGTTAGTTGTGTACCGTTAAGGGTCGGGGCTTTCAGATTTAGCCTCCTTCTTCTTGTGAACGGGACAAGGATTGTTTTGTTTGCGTTTAGGGATAGTCCTTCGCCTTCGCTCCAATTTTTAACGATGTTTAGGGCACGGTTGTACTTGTCTAGGGCTGTTCTATAGTCTGCCCAGTTGCCGTTTGTTTTTGCCTTGTTGAACAGTTTTCTGGCATCTTGTTTCAGACGTCTCAGCTGCCCGTTCCACCAAGGCACATCTCTGTGGGCCTTCTGTTTTACGGGACAACTGTTCTCATAGGAATCTTTTATTGCATCTGTTAGATTGTCAGATGATGCCTCTAGCTCTTCTATTCTATTTATGTCAGAAGGAAGTTCATCTAGACGCAGGCAGAGACCCTCCACATAGGATACCCAGTTGGTGAGTTTTAGGATTCTCGTCTGTATTGAGTGATTCATTACTGTCTCTTAGTCGAACCTTATTGCTTGATGGTCCGACAGGGAGGGTTCATTTGACACAAGCCAGTTGGTTATTGTGTTAGATGTAAATGTGTCAGCGAGAGTCACGTCTAAGACCTCTTGTCTGTCGGCGTTAATGAAACTGGGTTTGTTAGGTACCTTTGTTGATAATGTCTATGTTGTTAGAGTTCAAATATTCAAAAACGTACCCACCCCTTACGGTTGGCACTTCTACTGAAGCAACTGCCAAGTCTTGTGTGATGAAGTCTGGAACAGGTAAGAATTTTAAATTTTTGTCAAGCAGCAGTGCTGCTCGTGGTCTTTTATGGTTAATGTTGTAAATTAACTTACATGATTTAATATTTAGGCCTTTTATAGAACCTCCATTGACCCAGGGCTCTTGAAGTAGCCCTACGTTGATTTTTTGTCCAAACATTCTTCTTCTAAGCTCACTAGTGGCAGCTTTTGAGTGTTGAAGATTTATTTGAATGCATTTAATGCTTGGTGAGTTGCTTCTCTTTGGTTGCTTGGAGGCAGCTATTAGAGTTGCACTCACTTTTCGGACCCCACCTGGGCACTTTCGTCTTATTGACTCATTGAGTCTTTAGAAGTGCCTGCCTTGGTTCGGCGCCGTATGACTGAACTTGTAGCTTACC